GTGGATCATTCTCAGCACTGCAGTAACACTGATGTGGTGGTGGTGGTGTGTTAGTGTGTGTTGCGATGGTCTGAGTGGATCAGACACATCAGTGCTGCTGAAGTTTTTAAACACCTCAGTGTCACAGCTGGACTGAGAATAGTCCACCAACCAAAAATATCCAGCCAACAGAGTCCTGTGGGCAGCATCCTGTGACCACTGATGAAGGACTAGAGGATGACCAACACAAACTGTGCAGCAGCAGATGAGCTATCGTCTCTGACTTTACATCTACAGGGTGGACTGACAAGGTAGGAGTGTCTAATAGAGTGGACAGTGAGTGGACACAGTGTTTAAAAACTCCAGCAGCACTGCTGTGTCTGATCCACTCAGACCAACACAATACACACTAACACACCACCACGTCAGTGTTATTGCAGTGCTGAGAATGATCCACCACCTAAATAGTACCTGCTCTGTCCATGGGGGTCCTGACCACTGAAGAACAGGGTAAAAGGGAGCATAGAAACAAGGAGGTGGTCATAATGTTATGCCTGATCGGTGTATACAAGTGCTCAGTGGCCCTCATTCATGAAACCTTCGTAAATACATGAGCAAACTGCAAGTAAAATGGACGCTTCTAAACATTTTCCACCATACATGCACAATACATGTTTTAAATCAGCAGGGGTGATAGTAAAGCTTAAAATTTCTCATAGTTTCTCAAATAAATAAAAATTTATCGGATTTTGTGATCCGTGTCACTTCACTGTTTTTACAAGCGATGCAGTAAACAAGCAGCAAACAATCCCTTGAGTTCTTCCCTTTATTCAGCGATTTCATGGGTTGAAAGGCATTGAAGATTCTGCCGTGAAGCTTTACACAACCCGCTAACCTGAACCAAGTCTGAATGACGGACGAGGTGCTGCACAATACTGTGGTCTCTGCATATACAGAAAATCCTGACAGCACATACAAATTTCCTGGTTGAACTGCCACTTTAAAAACAAGTTTGAAGATCTTACAAAACCTAAAACCCATTTACTTAAAGCTTCTCCATCTTCCACTTTCTACATGTGCTTTTCTGTCTCCTGACCCCATGACCTCTGCCCACAGCTCCTTCACCTCTCTCCATCTCTCCTCATGGGCCGATATCCCTCTCCCTCTTTCTCTCTCTCTCTCCCACTCTCTCCATCCACTGCTTTATCCCTCTGACCTGATCTCATTTCATCCCCTTCAATCCTCATCTGTCCATCACAGAAGTGGCAAAGCGAGGCAGTCAGGCGCAGACGGAGAGATCAGGAGGTGGTAAAGCAAGAGAGCTTAATGTGAGACAGAGTCCCGGGACCAGCCGAGAGGAAGAGAAAGTTGGAGTTACTTAAGTAAACACTGAAGGTATCGACACAAAGATAAAAGCAACCAAAAATAAATAAACATACGCAGAGGATATAATCCAGGAGGAGTAGGTAAGTGATTTCCTTCTCTTTTGGTTTATTCTGTTCTATTAGACTGTTGTAATCTGTTCCATTCCATTCTATTCTATTGTATTCCATTCTACTATACTGTACTCCATTTTATTGTATTGTATTCCATTCTATTCCATTCCACTTCATTCTGCTTTATTATATTCCATTCAATTTTATTAAATTGTTGTATTCTGTTCCATCCCATGCTATTCTATTGTATTCCATTCAACTATATATATTCTATTGTACTACATTCAACTGTACTCCATTTTATTGTATTCTATTCCACTGTATTCCATTCCATTTAATGCCACTGTATTCAATTCTATTCTATTCTATTCCACTGCACTGTATTCCACTCTACTCTGTTCCAGTCCAATTCATTCTATTTTATTCTATTCTATTCCATTGTTTTCTATATTTTGCAGGTAATCGTTCTTTTATTATTTTTATATACACAATGCTGTGTTGTACTACAGCTTGTGGGCTACAGTGATGAGCAGAGAATAACTGAAGACCAAAAATTACATTTTTAAATAAAAGTAAAGTAACGTTTGACCACCAAGGTTTTCCAAAGGTTGGCACTCACAAGACTGACCAGCTCCATTCACACTAAGCCAAAAGTGGCTCCATACAAAAAGTAGCTTAATTTATGCAGGTGACTTAAAAATGTTCGAAACAATAATGTAACTGAACTTGATATTCATAGTACTTCCTTAAGTATAACAACCTTTTTTAATAGTAATAATATAACAGTTTACCACTTTATTATGAGATCATGATCTGAAAAAGAAGTGTAAATTGATCTTGTAGTGCTACAGGGGTTCCTCAGACTTTTGTTTTCTACAGTGAAGTTTCAGACAACAGAGTCATCTGCTGTGAAAGCAGTGTCCAGGATTCAAATGTCTAGGCCACATTCACACCCATTAGCCGCATAGCCTTTCGCTCTCTCTCTCTCTCACTCTACCCCTCCAACCCCCCCCAGCTCTTATCCAGATGCAAAGAGCAGTCAGTAATCGGATGAGAGCAGATTTGACTCAAAAGGCCTCCCTTAAAATCTCAGCAGCCTGGATTTAAACCCACTCTCTCCTGCCTCCGTCCATCCATCCATCCTTCTCCCTCTCGCTCTGATTGGTCCAGCTCTTCTCGCTGAATGTTAGCTCCCTTTTTTAATGTCTCTCGGACTTTGTATTGAGCACAATCCGTGTTTTTTATCTCCCTTACCACACACCTAATAACGACAACACTGTCTCTATCTTACCAGAAATTACACAGACAAAGCAAAGTCTTCTGTAGAGCAGAGAAAGGATGTCGCAATGCTAAAAGTTTGACCGATACCAAGTTAAAACTATGATGACGCTTTAGCAAAAACGTTAAAAATACCTGTCATCATCGGAACACTGTATTGGATTGAACACAGAAAATATGTTACTGAATAACTGTAACTGAAATTTCAAATTCAGTCTGTTTTTCATCAATACAAAACTGTTTATGTTTATAGAAAAAGGTTAAATAAATCTAATATAAACACAAACCATGTAACACTAGAGCAGAGACCAAACACAGAAGTGTTGCATGATGCATCGAAAGTTCCATGCTTTATCAATATTACAATGTGGCAAAAAATTAAATAGTCTAACTAATACTTTCATTTCTTTTTATAAATAATTAATTTATAAATAAACTAACACTATGTTGCTGCATTCTGCCAAAAGGCAGAATTAAGCATGTTAATATTACTCAAGAAGCACTCACTAGCTTATCTGAAACATACAGGTGAAGAGTAAGCATACCTAAACTATAAAAGTGAAGAGTTAGCATATTTAAAACATGAAGGTAAACAGTTACCACATCTAAAATATACTTTAAACACAGTGTGATGAATATTAGGCTATAGTGTATTTGTTGTAACACAGTGTGATGAACATTAGGCTATAGTGTATTTCTTTTAAAGACAGTGTGATGAACATTAGGCTATAGTGTATTTGTTGTAACACAGTGTGATGAACATTAGGCTATAGTGTATTTGTTGTAACAGTGTGATGAACATTAGGCTATAGTGTATTTGTTGTAACACAGTGTGATGAACATTAGGCTATAGTGTATTTGTTGTAACAGTGTGATGAACATTAGGCTATAGTGTATTTGTTGTAACAGTGTGATGAACATTAGGCTATAGTGTATTTCTTTTAAAGACAGTGTGATGAACATTAGGCTATAGTGTATTTGTTGTAACAGTGTGATGAACATTAGGCTATAGTGTATTTGTTGTAACACAGTGTGATGAACATTAGGCTATAGTGTATTTGTTGTAACACAGTGTGATGAACATTAGGCTATAGTGTATTTGTTGTAACACAGTGTGATGAACATTAGGCTATAGTGTATTTGTTGTAACACAGTGTGATGAACATTAGGCTATAGTGTATTTGTTGTAATACAGTGTAATGAACATTAGGCTATAGTGTATTTGTTGTAACACAGTGTGATGAATATTAGGCTATAGTGTAATTGTTTTAAAGACAGTCTGAAGAATGTTAGGCTGTATTTGTTTTAAATACAGTGTGATGAATGTTAGGCCGTATTGTATTTGTTGTAACACAGTGTGATGAACATTAGGCTATAGTGTATTTGTTGTAACAGTGTGATGAACATTAGGCTATAGTGTATTTCTTTTAAAGACAGTGTGATGAACATTAGGCTATAGTGTATTTGTTGTAACAGTGTGATGAACATTAGGCTATAGTGTATTTCTTTTAAAGACAGTGTGATGAACATTAGGCTATAGTGTATTTGTTGTAACACAGTGTGATGAACATTAGGCTATAGTGTATTTGTTGTAATACAGTGTAATGAACATTAGGCTATAGTGTATTGTTGTAACACAGTGTGATGAATATTAGGCTATAGTGTAATTGTTTTAAAGACAGTCTGACGAATGTTAGGCTGTATTTGTTTTAAATACAGTGTGATGAATGTTAGGCCGTATTGTATTTGTTGTAACACAGTGTGATGAACATTAGGCTATAGTGTATTTGTTGTAACAGTGTGATGAATATTAGGCTATAGTGTAATTGTTTTAAAGACAGTCTGACGAACGTTAGGCTGTATTTGTTTTAAATACAGTGTGATGAATGTTAGGCTTTATTGTGTGTGTGGTGCATGTTAGGCTACACTTATTATTGGATTTATTTTACATTTACATAAGTTTTATAAAAAGACTGATGATAATTAAGAGTAAACAATTAGTTATTTGTGTTCAATTTAAAAGTTTCTCACTTTTTTGCCATAGTATCATTTTGATGTCAAGTACTGTGATACTACACTTGGTACTGGTATCAAAGACAAATATCTGGTATGGTGGTAACCCTAACTGGAGGTTTTGTGTAATTTTTTTTCTACTGAAATAGGTGTAAGGTGAAACCCTTTGACTAATATCCATGACTGAGCAGTTCCCTCCCACTCCCCCTCCTCAAACAAATTTTAGGCAAAGTCGTTTGGTCATAAGAGCTTGCTAGAGACAACAACACAGATTTAAACAGCAATAGAACAAAAGGGGATCATAAAGCTACCATCACTTTTTTAAGGTAAGGTTTTAATATATAATGGACCTGTCAATAACGTACAACAGTGTAATAACTTTTGCCATATTTGTGTACGACCTGTGAACTGACATTCACAGTAAGATTCATAGACAGTTTTCTTACTGAAACAAGCTTTAAACTTATTAAAAAAGTCTATATATATATACATATATGTCAAAGTCATAATATAAAGGCCTAATAAAAATTCAGGTAGCACTTTACCAAGGGCAGTGTTCATAAGGCTGCATAACACCTACATAAGCCTTTCATGACAACTGACATGAAGTTCTATAAACATTTCCAAAGTCTTATTTCAACAAGAGTCAGTTGTCATTAGGGCTGTCTGTTTTGATGTGACTTCAGCAACAGACATGGCAACTGATGCCTGTTGGAATAAGCCTTTTGAAATGTCTATATAGTTTTTCAGTTGTTATGAAGGTTTATAGGTGTTGTTGTAGCCTTAAAAACCAAAATTCATCAGGGTGGGACACTAAGTATGCTGTTTTCAGCAGATCCACTCCAGAGAACAATTCTGTTATTATATTTTTAGACAGATTTGGCCACTAAAGCAGAAAACCTATTAAGCACTCACATAATGGTTTTTGTGTGATGCTGAGGTGTTCAGGATTTTATAAATGATGAATTAGTGACAAATTCCTTCTGAGTGAATACAGTTAGTCTCAAATAATAACCTGTTGTGTGCCTCTTACTGCGTGGTGTGACTTGTAAACTGAAATTCACCATAGTTCCAGATATTTTTCTTCAAGCTTGGAAGTCATAAGTGAACATACAGCACATGCAAACATATCTATCACTCATTGTGTGATAAAACAAAAACTAACGAGACCCATGATTGTTTGTTTAAGCAGGTTTTTATGTGCATGTGTGCATATAGGTTTTTGAATGTTTTGTGGGAACTGGGTTGTATAAGTGTATGTTTTGCGTGCATCCTTATTTGTGAGCATTTGCAAGCCAGTTGAGAGGAGTTTGAATTGCAAATGCCTGTCCGAGGCAGGGAAAGCTTTAGTTTCACAAAACATGAAAAGCTTGACCATCTCGTGCAACTAACTAAAAAAAGGATATTTGCTCTTAAAACAGCACTTGTTAATGCAACAATGAAAATATAGTGACCTCTTTTAATTTACTTTTTCCCAGCATTCTCTCTGCTCACCTGATCGGACTCCTGGTTCGTCTCCATTGGTGACTGTGCCTGACAACCGTTGCCATGGGTGAAATGGAGCAGCTTCGAAAGGAGGCGGAGCGCCTGAAGGACGATATCACTGTTAGTGTCACTGGTCCCAACCAAATCTAACACGATACAAAGCAAACAATTCGTAAGACTACACGCTTGGAACTAGTGCAATTCCCACTAGTAGAACATTAAAGGAGGATTCCACCAGTTTTTCAAAATTTCCGCACAACTTAACATTCATTCAGAGTGGTTTGATGTGAAATGGTTCAAAATTCACTCACATTTCTTTAAAGTGGTGGTGATAGGAACCAGGGATCACAATTTCTAAATGCAAAAATAGAGAATATTTATGCACAGCGTTCATACACTTTTTAAACAGTGGAATTCCATGACTTTTCCATGATTTTTCCAAGACAAAATGAAATTTGTATGCCACACATTTAGTATAGTATTGGGCAATGTATCATCTATACTCTTATAATGTGACAGGACATCTTTATGTCTGGCTTGGTACCACTGTGAACGATTCTGACTCGGTAAGTTTCTCTAGAACAGAGCATTTCACGCCAAACCACTCTGAATGAATTAGTTTACATCAGGGGCGGGGAACTCCAGTCCTGCAAGGCCGGATTCCTACACAGTTTGTTGGTGATGTTTCTGCTCAAATCACACCTGATTCAACTCCGTTAACTGCCAGGTTTAGTTGGAAAGTTACAGCACTGGATTCTGGCCCTCAGTTCCCCAACGCTGGTTTACATCTAAGCCATTTAATTATTTTAAAAAATCCCCTTTAAACCAATAAAATACCAAATTAACACAATTTACCCCATTGGATCAACCAAGACATGCTTGGTTTTCTGAAGTTTGCTTCTTTAGTATTAGCACTGGAGCTCTGAGACCAGCTAACAAGTAATGGAAACTGCATGCAAAACTAATTAAGCAACCTTCAGACACCAGACATGCCTTGGCTGACTGAATACACTTGGGGTAAGAGGGGAAAACATCAGCTATCCTTAATCTGAGCTTAGTAAAAATCTTGCTTGGAGTGCTTTATCACTCCAATCTTTTTTTGTCTGTCAGCAGCAGCGCCTGTTTGTATAACTGCATTATAACGGTTAATTAATTTACCCTGCAGGCCGCACGTAAAGCAGTGCAGGATGCCACACTGCAGGACACAGTCTCAGGGACGGCCGTGGTGGGCCGAGTCCAGCTCAAAACCAGAAAGACCCTGAGAGGACATCTGGCCAAAATCTACGCCATGCACTGGGCTACAGACTCAAAGTAAACACACATTCATGAACATGTCTGTATTCCTGTCCATGTGCTTCTGTGTAAGTGTAAATGCTGCTGTGTAGAGGTGTAACAACACATTGTGTGCTGTTACAAACAGAACCTTGATAATGTGCATGTGGACATTCTATTAATTATGGCATCTAATGCAATTACACTGTTTGAATGCCATAGTTTGCAAACGATCCCCACCAACTGACACCTCACTCTCCAGTCTCCCATAACTAGTGCGGTTCGCTCACTGTAGCACTCCTCCTGCTCCCAGCTCCAAAGTTGTTAGCTCACTCCTGCACTCCTCTTGTCTCCCAGATCTGGTGCAATTAGCTCACTTCTGCACTCCTCTTGTCTCCCAGTTCTAGTGCTGTTTGTTCACTGCATCACTCCTTCTGCCTTCCAGCTCTAATGTCGTTAGCTCACTCCAGTGCTCTTCCTGCCTCCCACCTTGTGTCGTTAGTTCACTTCAGCACTGCTCCTGTCTCTCATCTTTAGTGTCATTAGGTCACTCCAAAACTCCTCCTGTCTGCAGCTCTAGAGTGGAGTGCAGAGCAGTGCATGACATGTCAAGAACGGTTTTGCGAGCAGAGTTTGTGCTTAGAGCGGCTGGTGAGCGGCAATAGCACTGTTTAAAGCCTGGTTATTAAAGAAACTCATGTACTGAAGTCAGAGTGCTTTTCACACAATTCCGTCAAAATGTTCCTGAAGCCAATTATGATGAAAAAACACAGAGTCGATAGAGTCGAAGAACACGTCCCAGCTCTAGAATCGTTCACTCCAGCACTCCGCCTATATTACAGCTTTAGTGTGGGTGTCTCACTCCAACACTCCCCCTGTCTCTCAGCTCTAGTGCTGATTGCTTACTCTAGCACTTCTCCTGTCTCCCAGCTTTAGTGTTGTTAGCTCATTCCAGCACTTCTTCTGCCTCCCAGCTCTAGTGTCATTAGCTCACTCCATCACTCCTCCTGCCTCTTAGCTCTAGTGTTGTTAACTCACTCCAGCACTTCTCCTCTTAGCTCACTTGCCCTACTCTAGCACTCCTCCTGCTTCCCAGCACATGTTGTTAACTTATTCCAGCACTACTCCTGTCCCGTAACTCTTGAGCAAGATATTTCTGTAGGGTAGCATAATAGTTTTTTTAAAAAGTTTTTATGCATTGCGAGCATTGAATGCTCTCAATGTTGGTCCCTTCCATGTGTCAGGTCAAATCGACACCACTGCATCACTAAACACTCATACAAACAACACATCAGCAGATATGAGCAGACATCACTGAAACACAACACTACGCTAAGACGCCTGGCTCATGATCTTGTGTATGTTTACTCTGTCTGATTAGGCTCGCTTTAAGCAGCAGATGTAAAGCTGTGATTGAGTAATTGGATTAATGCTCTGAGACTCTGCTGCCTTTGATGGGATTTGATGGGATTTAGTGGATGTTAAATGTTTGGTGGACCTAAATAACACTTTCTTGATAGTAACATTTACAAATAAACATTTACAGCATATAAAAATGTTGCAAAATTATATATAAGCATTGATCTGGAAATGGTGGTTCTAGGGCGATCAATCGTATAATGTCAGAATCAATTATATTAAGTTATAATAATATTCAGTAAAGCATTTACTCATTTTTTGACAAAAATTCAAACGAAAAACCTACCATTTTCTACATTTTCTGTTCAAGTCCACTTTAACATTTGTGTGGTTTTGTGTACCAAAAACAGTCTTTTTCTAAGTTTTTCTAATATTTTTCTAATAATTTTCTAACCTCTCTTTATCCTTACTCTCTTTAAGAGTGATGAGCTCTGTTATGATTGGCTGCCATACATTGTCCCTCATTCAAAAAGCAGTCCAGGCTAAAACACCTCTTATAACTTCAGTGTGAATGGGGGGGCTAAACTGCTGTGGTCCAAGTAGGCGGACAAGTGCAGGGCTTTTCCTGCATAGACAATCACGAGGCGGCCAAAACTCTGTCAGGGGTCTTCGTAGAAAACACCATTTTCTAACACACGCTGCACTCAGTGGAAGGAAATTATTGTAAGGTCAGAGATTTATACCCCTAAAAAATGCAGGGTCACTGTTATAGTCTCTGCAGCCTGTCTTGCACTTTCTGAACCCTTTCCCTTTTCCTATTTGTCCAATTTAAGTTATTATCATCTCTCTCTCTCTCTCTCTCTCTCCTCTCTCTTTCACAGACTCTGTGTGAGTGCATCTCAGGATGGAAAGCTGATTGTGTGGGACAGCTACACCACCAACAAGGTACTGAGTGACTATTTCAAGCCACATCCACACATCCACCAGTGCCATCTAGTGGTCAAATCTGTGAGCGCAAGATATGATAGTTAACTGTACACTGTCAGAAAAAAAGGGACGGGTAAGGGTACATAGTGTTCATTTTTGTTCAAGGTACAAACAACGTAAATATATCCTGGTCTCAAGGTCAAATACCTTAAATGATTTTCATATATACACTACATCCACTTTCCCAGGATAAAGGGACATATTTGTTCCTTTTCCTAACCAAATGTTAGAAAACAGAAAAGTAAAACAAAACTAAAAAGCCTGGAGTCAAGGCAATGTGTACAGAGTCAATGTAACTGCAACAGAATCTGGTATAAATATGTTCCCTAAAGGTAGCGACAGTGACAGCGACAGTTTAGTACCTTTAGTAGCATCAAGCTGACGTGACCACAAAGCTTGGTGCACTTTAAATAATTAACCTGACTCTACACTCAGAGTGTAGAAGTTCATCTGAAGGACATTTAACTGCATCAATTCTGAAACATTAGTACTGATTAATATTCAATACAATGCACATTCATTGTTTAAAAGCTGAAATAGAATGCTTGGGCTTCTTTTTATTATTTGTTTGCCAAATTTTTTGACCGCTAACTAGTTTCGCAGTTTTCGAGATGTCAACACCGTTCCAACTCCGGAATGTTCACTCTGATCTGGATTGGTGTGCTTGTATACAGCTTTTTGATCAGACATATGATTTTCATACAATCATCACTAAATGACCACTAAATTTTTCCCAAAAGGAACAAATGGCTGGGGGGGGGTTGTGCACCCCACTTACATCACCATGATACAAATTCACTTGCAACATTCTATTAAACATGTGGGGTACCACAGCAGCGCCCTAGCAACCACTTGGGACACCATAGCAACAGCCTAGCAACACCCTAGCAACCACTTGGGATGTCATAGCAACCACCTAGCAACACCCTAGCAACTACTTGGGATAGCAACCGCCTAGCAACACTCTAGCAACCACTTGTGATCCAACAGTAATCACCTAGCAACACCCTAGCAACCACTTGGGATGTCATAGCAACCATCTATCAACACTCAAGCAACCACTTGGGATACCATAGCAACCGCCTAGCAACACTTTAGCAACCACTTGGGATACCACAGTAACCACCTAGCAACACCCTAGCGACCACTTGGGATGTCATAGCAACCACCAATCAACACTCTAACAACCACCTGGGATACCACAGCAACCACCTAGCAACACTCTAGCAACCACTTGGGATACCACAGCAATCACCTAGCAACACCCTAGCAACCACCTGAGATACCACAGCAACTGCCTGACCACTCCTTAAGCTGCGCAACCACTCTGCATTTTCTACAATAAATGAACTTTTCTAGTTGTCTATATTTTACTATTGTGTAAATATAGACAACTAGAATGTTAATTCTGTGTATTTTTAAAAACAATTCTGAATCATACTAAAATAATCGTTCTGATTCCTAAAGAATTGTTATCAAATCACTGTAATGTCAGAGATTTACACCCCTACCTTATGTCTGTGGTGACTCCAATAAGTATCTGGGCACTTTAATCTCTGATAAATATAAATGAAGTTTTTTTCAGTAAAACACTTTTATCACAACATCAAACTGATGGTAGACTGTGTGTGGAAAAAGGCTGGAGAGGAACTCCAATCAGAGTGCACTAAAGGTTCTGTAAAGCACATGGGTGAAACATCAAAGTATGGGGCTGTTTTTCTTACAATATTGTTGATGAGCTTTTTGCTTATTGATTTGACCATGAATTCAAGGGCATTTTGAATGCAAACCTGCAAAAGTCTGCAAAGAAACTGCTTAAACAATGACAATCTGAAACCAGGCACCTTTTGTAAGAATATTTTGCCAAAAAGAAAATGACAGTCTTGGAATAGTTTGCTAAAATAAATGTCACTTGGTTTAACATTTTGTTTCCTAACACAAAGAACCTTTTTAAGTATAATGGCTAAATACTTTTCGGGGCCTCTGTAATTCTAACCTTAGACATCTAAGTTGGCCTGTATGGTCATATATCACCCTTTAATGAGCCTGATGTGGAGATTCATTCTTCATTCTCAGTATTTTGTTTTGTGTAACAATTAAGGGAGTTTTCATTATTATAAGAGCATTTTTTCGGTTAATTAAATGAGACACAGGGGAATTCCAGTGATTTTTAAAGTTTAAGCATATTTGACTTGGTGAGAAATTACCAGCCATGCCCAGTGCTTGACCAACTTGTTTTTTTTTTGTTGGTGATAGGAACCATGGGTGATGAAGTATACAGCACAAACACAGCCATTTTCAGCCAAAATCAGTTTTCTTTGGGTTTCATATTTCCTTGTAAAACACTAAGCAATGCATTATTACCCATTTTCTGTGAGTCAGCTTTGAGGTGTTAAACTCTTCAGACCCCAGGTTCCTATTAATGAATGTGCACAATTTTTCCTGTGACAAATTCCTCAAGAATGGGTCATCAAAACAATCTGAATGACTTTACTTCCCACCAAGCAAACATTCATACTGGACAATCCTCAATTTGGACTTATATGAGCTTATAACATAGCATAATTTGACTGATTACACAGAGCAGTTGTGTCCAAACCCACCTACAGAGGCTGCATAGGAATCCAAATCAACAGAAATGATGACAGTTCTCCCCCATGTACATTTCCCAGGTAAACGCCATCCCTCTGAAGTCTTCCTGGGTGATGACCTGTTCCTACGCCCCCTCAGGAAACATGGTGGCATGTGGGGGTTTGGACAACATGTGCTCCATCTACAACCTGAAGGGCAAAGACGGCAACGTCAAGGTCATGCGGGAGTTGGCAGCACACACAGGTGCCACCCACACAATTTTAAGTTTTTAAATCAGAACAGCTTACAAAGTCTTTTGTAGACTCTGTAGTAAAAAATATATATATATATATATTTTTTTTTCTGACTTTATTTTGGCTCAGAAGAAAACTGTGTACATTTTACTTTTCATCAGACTTTAAGGTGCATCTGCACTGGGTTGCACCAGTTTATACCTAAGCTTGTGCGTAAAGTCCCTAAATAACACTACTTAGTTTCACACTATCCTTTTACTAAATCCAGGGTGGACCACAAATCTTTAAGTTATGTCTTAGCTGGCAGCAACTACCTAATGCGTACATCCCTTTAACTTGACGGTAACATGTTCAGAACTAATCTATAATCAATCAGTTTACTAAATAAAACTCAAAACTTGTAGCTGTCGTCTGTTTATTCTTTAATATTTTCTTGAATTTTGTTTTTAGCTTAGTTAACCAAAAAAGTCACGTTTTAGTCTTTTTTTGTGCGATTTATCACATTTCCGTTGGTTTCCCCAACACTGTCTCCTGCTTAGAAGGAGATGCAAATAATTAATGGATACCAAGCTCAACATTGCAACTAGTTTGTGTGGTGCACCTTATTTGGATTTAGTAATGTGTAAACCTAACTTAGTTAAAACTTACATCATATCTAGCCTACGTTTTCACTTTGGCACAGCGTGGTGCAACCCGGCGCCAGCTCACTGATTCTCCTGTTGTTCTTTATGACTTAGGCTACCTGTCATGCTGTCGTTTCCTGAGTGACGCTGAGATCATCACCAGCTCTGGTGACTGTACCTGGTAAGGTTTTAGGAATAAAACAGAGAACAGTCCTATACAACCATTCAGAAGTTTGCAGTCACTGTTTTTAATCCTATTTTGTTACTGATACATATACTGGTGCATATTTACTGAAAAAGCTGTCCAAAATGTACTATAATAATATTGGATAAATAGTTTAAATAGTAATAACAATATATACAATGTTAACACATTAATCTTAATATTCTTTGTATTGTATAAGTATTGACACAAGAAAGTATTGTAAATTGCTTAATTACAAAAACTTGAAATATTTAGAACAGCAAAGAACAGAATATTTTTAACAGACTGGAATAAAACATTAGTAAATACCTGTCGTTTTGAACAGTACTGTATAATGGATAAATCTGTTTCGCTAAATCAATGTGCCCTCTCTTCTTTCCTCAGCGTTCTGTGGGACATTGAGACGGGCACACAGAAGACCGTGTTCATCGGCCACATGGGCGACTGCATGAGCCTGGCCGTGTCTCCAGACTTTAAGACTTTTATTTCAGGAGCGTGTGACTTCACAGCCAAACTGTGGGATATACGGGAGGGCCAGTGCAGACAGACTTTCAGTGGCCATGAGAGTGATATAAACGCTATAGCCGTGAGTCCCTTATTATATTATATTTATGGGTAGTTCTCACAAACATAACAAATACTGGGACTCAACTTGAAAAAGCTAAAATGGCTAAAATTTAAAGTTTTCTTTTTTTATGTTTGAACATACAAACTAAATAATTTAATCGATTTTAAACTGATATTTTCCAACTTAAGTGACCAAATTCTCATCACTGCAACACAAGATTGTAAGGATTTTAAAATTAAAATGATTAATATCGTTTTAGTTTACAAGAAATCATTAAAGTCATGATAGTCAACAGTTTAAATTCATATGGTTACTTCTAAAACACTTCCTAAAATAACTAAATACAGTCGTTCTGGTTTAAAATTTTAAAAATGACTGTGGTAATGTTAAAAAAAGCAAAGACATGAATAGAAAATGAATAATTTTATCTTTTGATGTACCACATAGAGCTGCAACTGACCTACTAAATTATATGAATATTGTTTATCTGTGTGATGCTTATTAAACTCAAATATTTATGGACATGATTGGACACTGTGTTGACCGTGTACGGCCATGTCTAAGTTGTCCAAGTGTATATATACAGTGCATGTGCATATATATGCAAAAGTTTGGGCAACAAATAATAAGTTTTGTTGATTTTGTAGCTGCAAATATGTCAAAAATGTAAAAAAAAAAAACCAAAAAACAAAAAAAGAAAAAAACTAAAATGTGGCATGGGCGAATGTTTTTATTTTATTCTTTTATTCTAACTGTAGCAAATAAATTGTGCACTAAAATTTGCAGAAAAATGCCATCCTGAGGCTTATACCCCAAAGAGGATGTTACATTATCTGCAGAACAAATCATTTGACCAGGGGTTCCCAAACTTTTGCATAAAACCACATAAGCAATAGAAAATTACTGAATGTATTAAATTCTAAAACTCCACCATCGTTCTTCTCGTCCTTCATCCTCACTGTCCGTTTCCCTCCTCAGTTCTTCCCCAACGGTAACGCGGTGATCACAGGCTCGGACGATGCCACCTGTAAGCTGTATGACCTTCGCGCTGACCAGGAGCTGATCACCTACCAGGACTCCAGCATCATGTGTGGAGTTACCTCCATCGCCCCCTCGTTCTCGGGACGCCTCATCCTGGCTGGCTACGATGACTTCAACTGCAACATCTGGGACTCGCTGAAGGCTGAGAGAGTGGGTGAGTGAGGGCGAGTGAGACGGAGGGACAGAGAACCATTCAAGTTATACCTGAACTACAGCAGCAGTCAAAAGTTTGGACACACCTACTCAAGACATCAAAACTATGAAATAACACTTGTGTGATTTCCTCCAATTAGAAATACAGACCTTAAACCAAAACGGGGCTATTTAGCAGCAACACAATTTGGCCCAAATGTGTTAACAAGGTCCACTAATTAGCTTCTAAAGAGATCTGCATACTAATTAGGATGATATAATGACTGCTTTAACATTTTACATTTTAGCTAAAAAACACTTGTTGGTGGGGTGGACATTTAAAAATACATATTTTATTAAAAGGTAAAATTCTTAAGTGCTAAATAACTGACCATTAAAAATAATCTAACTAGAAGTATTTGATATTATAGTTTTAATACCACTTTTGTAATACAAGGCATTCTGGATGTTCATTTTATTAAAATACAAATTATAATAAATCTGTATTTGTCAGATTACAACAAATTTATATTGTTTTATTTAAATAATGAAAATTAATTATTATTTGTTATTAGTAATGTACTACTTATTTAAATTTGTATTATTTTGGAAATAAAAAGTTATTAAATAAGTAATTATAATCTAATTACAAAACACATCTGCTTTAAGATTTGATTAGCATCTGAAATACAAGGCATTCGGATATTTCTGTATTATTATAATACACAAAAATTAAGCCTTCAATTTACACAAACACACAGACACACACTGACACACACACACACATACAAAATAACTACCATTCAAAAGACTGTCAAAATTAAGATTGATTTCAAATTGTATTATCACTTCTTGATGAACACTCTGTTCATCATTCTGAACACTTCCAGTTCCACTTGCAGTATTTCACCCACAGAAGGACAGCAGTGTCCCTAGTTCAAATACAATATAAATACACCGATCAGGCATAACATTATGAGCACCTCCTTGTTTCTATGCTCATTGTCCATTTTATCAGCTCCACTTACTATATAGGTGCACTTTGTAGTTCTACAGTTACAGACTGTAGTCCATCTGTTTCTCTGATACTTTGTTAGCCCCCTTTTACCCTGTTCTTTAGTGGTCAGGACCCCCATGGACCCTCACAGAGCAGGTATTATTTGGGTGGTGGATCATTCTCAGTAATGCAGTAACACTGACGTGGTGGTGGTGTGTTAGTGTGTGTTGTGCTGGTCTGAGTGGATCAGACACATCAGTGCTGCTGGAGTTTTTAAACACCTCAGTGTCACTGCTGGACTGAGGGCAGCGTCCTGTGGGCAGCGTCCTGTGAGCACTGATGAAGGACTAGAGGATGACCAACACAAACTGTGCAGCAGCAGATGAGCTATCGTCTCTGACTTTACATCTACAAGGTGGACTGACAAGATAGGAGTGTCTAATAGAGTGGATAGTGAGTGCTGAGAATGATCCACCTATATAGTAAGTGGAGCTAAAAAAAAAAGGACAATGAGGTGGTCATAATAATATGCCTGATCGGTGTATATAATAGTTATAGGGACAAAATATTTTATTTGATTACCTTAATTAAAAATGCAGAAAGAGGCTACATTATGAAAAATATACAGTGCATTTAATCAGCTATGTCCAAACTTTTGCCTGTATGTGGAAGGAAAAGTAATTCTGACATTGTTCTCACTTTGCGCTGTTCTGCCATGTTGACAGGAGTGTTGGCGGGCCACGATAACCGTGTGAGCTGCATCGGGGTGACAGCCGACGGCATGGCCTGCTGCACGGGGTCATGGGATAGCTTCCTGAAGATCTGGAACTGAGGCACCTTCTGAAAGAGCAAACGAAAAAAGACAGGATGAGGGAACATCTGAGTGATTATAAAAATTGGGTATGGGGTGATGGGGGGAGGGGGTGGGAGGTAAGCGAGGGGAAGAGACAAAGAGAGGGATGTTTTTGTGCCAAGTCCTAAAGAGAAGGGTTTAGCTTGAGACGGAATATCTCCTTCAGAGGCAGGCTGGCCACTAGCATTTTCTTCTGCCGAGAAATTATGCAATAACACAAATGAGATGAACTGATGAAACACACGATGAGATTCTTCAAATCTTCGTCTTTCAGGGACCACTGTACTCTGAATTACTGCAGAAGGCACTTTCCAACTAATTTTGATGACAGAGAACAATGGAAGTAGTTGAATGTAGGTCAATTAGTGTTGGTTTGATAAACGACATGTACTGTTACTGTAACGCATAGTAATTAGGAAATGACTGAAACACGGCCACCAAAAACTCAAATGAAATCCTGTAACATGTAAATAATGAAAACTTTTACAGGAGCTGCCAAATTACAATAGGCAAATAGAGTCAAGTCCATCGCTTACAAATACAGTGTGATTTATAGATTTTAACGACCTATGAGTTTGAGGAACACTGATGACATTTTAGATATCTGTATTTACTCAAGCTGAAGTATAGATATCTGTTATTTATTTACTATTTTTGATTGATTTTGCGTTAGTCTCTTTTTTCGTAGTTTACTTTTAGCATTATCTGATTATCCTTTGCTTTTCCACTGCTCTTATACTTGCCATTAAAAGAAAGATAACCATAATTCTCTGATGTCTCATTGTTTCATTTGTCACACCGATACCTGGATGTTCAAGCAGAAGGAAGGGCCTATTTTATCTATTTTCGCATGTGTATGCCCCAACAAACAGAAAGTAAACTGGGTACATTTTCATCCATTGGGTCAAGACAAATACATGTAAATTAAAGATAGCAGAAAATACATTTACTAAAACACGTCACGGGTCTTATGACAACAAAAATTTCTAAATGGTGCTATAACATCTTTAGAGTTTGCTAAGAAGTTTGTTAATAATACCCTTAATGGTCAGCAGTGCATTTTATTATTTTTATTATTAAGTGCCATCAAGGCGTTTCTAGCTCTTGGCAACTGTATGGACAACGTGTCTCCAAATATCCTGTCATCGGTTTGAGTCTTCAGGCTTCCGAATGGCTGGGCATAATAGTCTTTTCCAATTAACTGGTTCTTCTGAGAATATGCCCAAAGTATGAGATGCTTCAGTTCAAAGATCCATTTGTCTGTTTTCTTTGCCGTCCAAGGTACTCTTAAAAGTCTTCACTAACACCAAAGTTCAAAGGCATCAATATTTTTCTGTCCTGTCTGTTGTTTATTGTCCAGCTTTCACATCCACTAGGAACCACAGAGATGGCCACAGCCTGGACAGTTCTAATCTTCGTTTGTAGAGTCAAATCACTGCATTTGATTATCTTTTCAAGCTCCGTCGTTCTCGTTCTGCTGAGTGCCAATCTGTGTCGTATTTCTTGAGTGCTGGATCCTCTGTTGTTAATAATTAATCCACCATTTCCACATCTTCTCCATCAATGGAAAAGTTAACTTAAGTCTTCTTCATACTGAACACCTTAAGAAGGCGATGCTGAGTAATGTTAGTCCATTTGGTACTTGTTAATATTACCTTTAGAGGGCTGCGATGAGTAATGTTTGCTTATCTGATGTTCATTAACACCTTTAGAGGGCCCTGGTGAGTAATGTTTGCTCGTTTGATGTTTGTTAATAACACCTTTAGAGGGCAGTAGTGAGTGCATTGAACAAAAATGAATTCAATTGTTAACTGCAATTATTAATCAACAGCTAAAATTTCACGATTGTGACAGGTCTAGTCACAGAATGGACAGATTAAGGGTTCACCGAGCACACACAATAAAAACACGCTGTGTGACCTCTTTCTGAATACCAGCTGCAAAAAGAAAGTCTATCCCAGAATTGAGGTCTGCAAAAAGGCCATTATCAAAGGAAGACTATGCTGGTGCCATTTATGGCTAAACAATGTAATACAGTCCTTCATGTTTCCAGTGCCAAACACTTGGACACTCTTTTGTTGAAACTAACTGAACCACTACACTCACAAGAGGCCATCTGTACTGCCTTTCCCACCACCCAGTTGAACAGACATACATCTGATCAAGCAATACAGTTTTAAAGCGATGGTTTGGCCAAACATCAAATTTACCTTTAACCCAAATGTATTCAATCAAACAAGAGATGTTTGGTATGGACAACATAGACAAAAGTACAGACGACTTTCAGGCTTTAAGCTGACTTCTATTTCTGTTTTCAGCCATGTGATGTACTTTTATCCATGTTTAAAGCTAGCAGTGGAGAGAAAATGCTCCGCTAGCTCTGAGACGCACCCTGATACCATGTTTACATCAGCATATGTAATGAAAATGAGTTTCCTGTTCACGCTTACTTTAAAGTTGCCAAGCATAATAGACGAAAAGATGGCCTTAGTGAGCACCCGCCCATCTCTGACAGCTTTCCAGTAGCGCTGCACACAAACAGCTTTGTGAAAAAGTGTCTTATTATTTATTTTTCCTACTGAAGTTACATAGGCTCAAGAGCGTCACTTTGTTTTGTAAAGTACTGAGGACGAAAGCACACTCTTAAAGACGGTGCTTTGAGGGTTCTTTAGTAAAGAAAATGGTTCTACATAGAGCCATAAACACTCAAAGCGCCCTTCGCATGATTAAAAGGTTATTTGCTTCAAGAAGGGGCTCTTTGGATTGATGGAAAATGTGCATGAATGTGCTGTAGACAGATCTATATAGAACTTTTGAAAAGGGTTCTTCTGTTGTTACCAGCTTGACACCGTAACAACAGAAGAACCCTTTTGTTTTTTTGTTTCTACACAGAACCATTTTCACAAAGGTAACCTACAGCACATTCTCCATCAATCTGAAGAACCCTTCCATGATGCAAAGAACCCTTTAATCATGCAATGGTTCTTTGAGTGTTTATGGTCCTATATAGAATAATTTTCTTTAATAAAGAACCCTTGAAGCACCATCTTTTTTTAAGAATGTAGAACATGAAACGTTGTGCCTTTCAGTGATAAATAGGTTTTAAATGACAGTCCTGTTGTGAATTTACTTACAATGTTTGGAGCTGCGCTGACGCCACAACCATGAAGTTCCACATTCTTCGGTCCACTACTGCAGCACGTCACCTACAGTAGACAAAGCTTTCAGTGTTTTTACTCTTAGATTAAAGAGAGCCTGTCCCTTATGACTGGTGATGCTTGTTAGAAAAAGATATCTGAAATTTGTTATCCTTCTTTAATAAAATATTGAGATCTGCTTCATTTCTCTTGGGACAGTCTCAAGGATTTTTTTCCGTAGGGCAGCCTTGAATTTCAGTGGTCCTACATTCCATCTTTGGCCTTTTCTAGGACACAACTTTGTTCCCATAGCCAACTGCAACATTCATTTCGTCCACTGTTTAATACTTAAAATTATATTTGATTTTCCACTTTCAAACCGGGCTTCATGTGAGTAAACTCCTCCATCTATTAACCTACACTCCTTCTTCAGGTTGTTAGCTATTATACTGTGATAACTTGCTAGTTAGCAGGCTAAGCGCTAAAACAGAAAAAGAAGGGTAGCTAACGTACCCTGTATATTATGCACTCTAAAACAGCTATTATCCCTGCTAGGAAAACCAGCATAGACCAGCAAATGTTGTGTTTTGGATGCTGGAATGCTGGTCAACTAGCATGACCATGTTGGGTGTCCAGTTAAAGCAGCACCAGACCAGCATAAACCAGCAGGAAATTCATGTTGGTGTGGTGCATCAATGTTACCCTACAGAGTCCCTATGGACTCTTTTAACAGAGTCCCCTCTGTTAAGAAGAAAAAGTTAATGACATTGCATTCCCTTGCAAATGTTTTGCATTCTCTTGCAAAAAAATGTGTTCCCTTGCAAAAAAATGCATTCCCTCGCAAAAAATGCAATCCCTCGCAAATGTTTTGTGTTCCCTCACAAAAAATGTGTTCCCTCGCAAAAAAATGTGTTCCCCTGCAAAAAAATGCATTCCCTCGCAAAAAAATGTGTTTGCATGCAAAAAAATGCATTCCCTCGCAAAAAAATGCAATCCCTCGTAAATGTTCTGCGTTCCCTCACAAAAAATGTGTTCCCTCGCAAAAAAAATGCAATCCCTCGCAAATGTTTTGCGTTCTCTCACAAAAAATGTGTTCCCTTGCAAAAAAATGCATTCCCTCGCAAAAAAATGCAATCCCTCGCAAATGTTTTGTGTTCCCTCACAAAAAATTCATTCCCACAGCAAAAAGTGTGTTCCCTTGCAAAAAAAATGCATTCCCTCACAAAAAATGCAATCCCTCGCAAATGTTTTGAATTCCCTCACAAAGTTTTGCATTACAATGCAAACGGTTTGCATTCGCTTGTAAAAGCTGTGCTGTGCTTAAGCTCAGAGGTGGAGCAGCTCATTGAATTTTCCTTTAATGTTGTATTGAAATATAAAGTCATAGTGTCGCTTCTCAAAATCATGATTCTGCTGTTAGTGAATCAAACTGAGACTGAGGTCGAGGGTCCTCGTACAGTAGAAGCTACGTTTACAGAGACTGCAGAGAACAACAGCTGAATAAACTCAGCACAGACTGGCGAAACAGCTTTTAACGTTAGCTATGCTGAAAACCGCTGGGCACCTCTGGTCCTACGTTTGCTTGCTGTCTGACAAGTATATATTTTGCGAGGGAACGCAATGTTATTTATTTTTTTAACCACGGCCGCTTGGGTGCTCCATATTACCCTGGCTTGCTAGTGAAGCTGGCTAGCGTTAGCTGTCCTGACTGAACTGAGGAGTCAACTTAAGTTAGTAGGCCAGGACAAATAACGTTAAACATGGATTTAAACTGACCGTTAAAGCGACTACATTACGGCACATCATTATAGACCTGCTAATATGTCTCAGAGTATTAATTCTAAACATAATTAAAAACAATAAGCACTTAACTTCTAACATACTTTCCTCACCTGTAACGTTAGCGCTTCAACTGACCGTTAGCGGAGCCGTTAGATTTTAGATTTGAAATGAGCGCGTGGCTGCAGCAAATACTGAAGCGCGGGATTTAACGCTGATTCAGCCTCTTCTATACAGTCTATATAAAACTGCTGCGTCTGATCCACTCAGACCAGCACAACACACACTAACACACCACCACCACGTCAGTGTTACTGTAGTGCTGAGAATGACCCACCACCCAAATAGTACCTGCTCTGTGAGGGTCCATGGGGGTCCTGACCACTGAAGAACAGGGTAAAAGGGGGCTAACAAAGTATGCAGAGAAACAGATGGACTACAGTCTGTAACTGTAGAACTACAAAGTGCACCTATATAGTAAGTGGAGCTGATAAAATGGACAATGAGCGTAGAAACGAGGCAGTGGTCATAATGTTATGCCTGACCGGTGTAAAAAGGTAAAAAGTCCCCTCCTTGTATAGACAAAGAACTCAATTCTGATGATTCCTAAACTTGCTCCAGCAAAATTAAATTCTGAAGGGAATGACATGAAACATCGAAATAAAATAA